TTCTTTTGAGTGTGTCATATATTAGGTATGGCAGAACGTTTCCGGGCAGATATGCTGACAAACTGATACAATGGAACGTTGCGTTTCATTGCAGAGTTGTGTGGAGGCGAACGGTTTTTAATTTGAATAAAAATGTTGATTTTGAACCGAGTTATGAAACGTTGAAATTTGGGATTTGACTGCTCTAGGACTTTATGCCATACCTAATGTATTCTTTACAATCAGAAACCTCTAGCAATTAAACAAACTACACTATGGTAAATTTTAACCGGGTTATGGTAATGTTACATATGATATCAACACAACGATGATGATAATGAGCACAGTTCAGGATCAGCAGAGCAGCACAGCGACTAATGTATATTCACCGATGTGTCTGGCAGACTTCATAAAGCGCATCCTTAATTTTTTGATCAGTCGCTATGTCAACTGCACAATTACCCTCAAAATCTGCGATTGTCGGATCGGCACCGTGCCTCAGCAGTGCTTCGACTGCATCACGATGCGAACATGAAACTGCTGCAATCGCATTCATTATCATTACTGTGAGATTCAAAAGAGTGTTTGGAGATTTGAATAAATGGCGACGAAATATGACTTGAATATTGTACATTCGAGAAACATTTGAGAAATTTGCAAATTGTTTCATTGCTCCTCTGTTTTGATCGCAATTGTTGATCATTCATAGGATCAGTGAGAGTGCAATGCGCTCTTGTTTAGTGATTGTGTTGCTGCTTTTCATCACCAATTCGCGATGCTATCATCAATTCATCGAGTGCTTTGATACAAATGAAATAAGTCGAGATCCCGAGCCTACAGAAGATATTTATGGTGATCGCTTGGTATGGTTTCTAATTGCATTTCTAAAACATTCAAATTACTAAGCGATGAGCGTTGATCTCTCTTTTTTTGTCACTAATCCTAACGCCTCAATACCTCAGACTGCTTCAGTAAGTGCATTTGTTTGCTTTCACTTATGATCGCAACATCACTTTCTTCAGTTTTCGTTTATGTGCTACTTTGGAGATCGTTTGACCAGCAAAATCACCGTATTATCACAGCGTGTCAGTGCCGTCAAATAATCGAAGTTTAACACTGAGAATGAGTTCAGATGCCAAAAGAGCCCCCTTGTCAATTTCTGCGTGTTGATGTTAAGTCGAATATGATGTTCTTTTACACCTCACACTATCACAAGCCGATTTGTCAAGAGAAGTTTCAATCGATGTCAGGCAAGGATATCCAGCCAACTTGGAGCGGAAATTTCTACGCTAGATGTAAAAAGAAAGTAAGTGGCACTGAACTTATGCAAATTCATTTTCGGATTCGTTTCACATTCGTTATCAGCACGTTCACGTAAACTAACAATGTTGTGACAATATTACAGTGTGACTGGGGAATTCCTTGCGAACTGCGATGGTATCTGCCAAGAAGAGATTTGAAAACTTGTTTCGGGGTGCTCTGCGAAAATTCAACAACACCGAATGATTACGATGAGAATGGATGAGATTACCTTTTACTTTGTGTAATAATGACATAATCTTTTGCTTTGCTTAAAAGATGTATCATGCTTTAAGATACATAAATATGTGTGATGTGAATGGATCATCTCTATGTACTGTTCGATTACCACCTGAATGTTTTGTGTTTGTACGATAGTATTCAGTGTTATTGGAAATAAGCGCCGAAAGTACCGTAATGAAGTGGTGTTTGGCCGTCGTAGTCTTGAATACTAATATCGGCTCCGGCCAGCAGAAGGCATTCGATCATCTGAACATTGCCTCGGTCAGCTGCGTGGTGCATTGCTGTCACCTGCAAAGATAGCACCACTTCAACGTTTGCTAGAAGAATGATCTCAAAATATCAGTCTAAGAACACTGAATGACCTGATTCTCATCGCGTTCCACCAACAACTCATTATTTGCTTTCAACATCTCGGAAACTTTCGATAAGTTGCCCATACTAACCGCCGAAAACCATTCGATTACATCTGAACGTAGCCCAGAAGCACCTTCGATCTGAAACTTTCACATTCATTCTTACAACGCGATTATGATCATTATTATCAAGCGAAAAGATCGATCACTCGTATGCTCACATCCTCGTCAGATGTTGAATTTGCCAAAGTGCTCGGCCTTATGCCGAATCCACTCGTATACTTCTTCGACGGTTGCCATCCCAGGTTCAGTTCGTGCACCTTGTTGATATATCCCCTCATCGCATCCTCTCTCGACACCGCATTGCCCAATCTCGCCCAACTATCAAACTTTTCACGACCTTTCCAATCGAATACACCCGGTCGATTTCTCGCATCTGATACAGCAGCAATATCGCACATACAATTATGAGACTGAATACGATGAAAAACAATGAAAATGAACCAATAAATCGCCAGAAATGCTCAAGATCATATCAACAAACAACAAACAAACCCGCAGGCCCAATGGTAGCTTGTTTATATCTCGCATACAGATACAACAAATC